ACTACCACTACTACTACTACTACTACTACTACTACTACTACTACTACTACTACTACTAGTACTACTACGACTACTACTGCTACTACATACTACTGCTACTGCTTCTCCTACTGGCCGTACTATTACCGACCACGACTACGACGACGACTGATACTACTACTACTACTAGTACTACTACTAGTACTACGACTACTACTACTACTACTACTACTACTACTACTACTACTACTACTACTACTACTACTACTACTACTACTACTACTACTACTACTACTACTACTACTACGACTACTACCTACTACCTACTACCTACTACCTACTACTACTACTACTACTACTACTACTACTACTACGTCCTACTACTACTACTACGATTACTACTACTACTACTACTACTACTACTACCACCACTACTACTACTACTACTACTACTACTACTACTACTACTGCTACTACTACTACTACTACTACGACTTCCCGACCAGCGCGAGCCCCTATCGCGAAAAAGAAATGGCACGCCCGCCCCGCCTTGGGAGCCTGATACAGATATGTCGAGAGTCGAGAAAGTACCACACCTGTCGCGCCCTGCGCGCCTGCAACGCATTGAAACCGCACCCCCTGTGCACCCCCTCGAGTGTCGAAAAAGCGCCACGCCCGCCGTGCCCTGCGCGCCTGCAGCGCATAGAGACCGCACCCCCTGTGCAGCCCGTCTGGTGTCGAGAAAGTGCCACGCCCGCCGCGCCCTGCGAGCCTACAACGCATAGAGACCGCACCCCCTGCGCACCCCCTCGGGTGTCGAAAAAATGCCACGCCCGCCGTGCCTTGCGCGCCTGCAACGCATGGAGACCGCACCCCCTGCGCACCCCCGCTGATGTCGAGAAAGTGCCACGCCCGCCGTGCCCTGCGAGCCTGCAACGCTTAGATACCGCACCCCCTGCGCACCCCCTCTGGTGTCCAGAAAGTGTCACGCCTGCCGCGAGCCTGCGGTGCCCAATATATGGCGCATACGTCGTGGGTGTGTGATGCAGTGAACACGCCAGGCGTGCACTGGCATTGTGCATGTGTTGCGCGCGGGTGAGGGGAGAAAGGAAGAGGAGGAGAGGGAGGTGAGACGCGGGTGCGGCGCGGCATAGAAGAAAACCGGAACCCCACGAAACATGTGGGTACGTGCCGTGCATGTGTTGCGCGCGGGTGAGGGGAGGAAGAGGGAGGAGGGGAGGAGAAGGAGACGCGGGTGCAACGCGGCAGGGAAGAAAACCAGAACCCCACGAAACATGTGGAGAAAAAGAAAACGTTCAGAGGTCCGCGCAGATCTCTCGGATCCGCGCGGGGCCCCTCCCCCGGGTGCGCGGAGCGCGCCAGAGACGGTGCCAGTGGCGTCGCCAGGGGGATCCAGCGCCGATCCAGGAAAGCCGCGCGGACCTCCGAAAGCTATACTTACGCCGCCCTTTCCTTCTGCGACCAGCAGGGCTGAAACTAAACGTTATTGTTTCGTTTTGTGTTCGTTCTGTTTTTCGTTTTGTTCTCCCTGCTCTTTCCTGCACCTCCCTGCCAAAACGAAAACCAGAACACGGCCGAAGGTCATTAAAACAGAGTTTAGGTCCAGCCCTGGCGACCAGCCTCGACCCCCTCCCAGCCTGCGTCCTCCAGCGGCCGGAGCCCGCTGGCGTCCACGCGCAGCCAGCAGCAGACCCGCAGGGCCAGCTGCCAGGACTTGGAGATCGCACGGCCCACGAAGGCTCCGTGGGCGCGCCGCGCGGCCAGCGCCTCCTGCCCGACGCCTCCTCCAGTCCCGCCTGCCCCCTGGGCAAGTCCCGTGTGAGTGCTCTGTTGCTGTACTGCGCTTCTTGTTATCATCGCTCTAGCCTTCCGGGGCTCCAGGTACTGCCACTGCAGATCCCGCCACACTGGAGACCCGTTTGTAAGGCCGCCACAAATAAGGAATCCCTTGTGAAGAGGCTGCTGTGAGAGGACTATTAGTATGGAGGCCACTGCGGATCCCCCAAACTTAAGATCCTTCTGTAAGGCCGCCACAAAGATGAACCCTTTTGTAAGGGCTGCTACAATAACATGTTACTTGTGGAGCGCCTGAACCAGGAAAATACCAACAGTCGCAGGTCTTCCTAGTTCTGTCTCATGTTTACCTGTGAAAACATAAGCATTTTCCGATTGTTCATGCTTCTGTTTTTGTGTTCCTCTCTAGTTGTGCTGGGCTCAAGGTGCCGCCACTGCAGATCCCCCCACAATGGAAACCCTTGACAAAAGGAATCCCTCATGTACATGCTGCTATGAGAGGATTGAACATGTAGAGGCCATTGCAGATCCCCCCAGTGAAGATGCTTCTGTAAGGTCGCCACAAAAGAAATCCTTGTGTAAAGGCTGCTACATAAGGAATTCAAGTGCGGAGCGTCTGAACCAGGAAAATACCGACCTTCACAGGTCTTCCTAGCATGCTCGTATTTTCCCATATAAAAGTGCATGTTGTTTCGTGTGTCTCCTGTTGTTCCTGGTTTTCTCTCTAGCTTTCCTGGGCTCAAGGCGCCGCCACTGCACACGTCCCCACAATGAAAACCATGTCTGTAAAGCCGCCACAAACAAGGAATCCCTTGTGCACAGGCTGCTCTGAGAGGATTCTTAGTATGGAGACCACTGCATATCCCCCACAAGTAAGATCCTTCTGCAAGGCCATAACAAAAGGGATCCTTGTGCAAAGGCTAATACAAAAACAATTTAACTGTGGAGCGTCTGCGCCAGAGAAATACCACCAACAGTCGCAGGTCTTTCGAGTGATTTCCAATTTTCCGTATGAAAACACAGGTTTGCCATGTTGTTCCTCTTTTCCTCGTTCGATTCCTGGGCTCAAGGTGCAGCCACTGCAGATCCCCACAAAAAAAACGTGTGTAAGGCCGCCACAAAAGAAATCCCTCTGGACAGGCTGCTATGAGAGGACTCTAATTGCGGAAGCCACTGCAGACCCCGCACAATACTCACATTGTAAGACCGCCACAAAAGGAATCCGTGTGTAAAGGCTGCTGTAAAAGGATTGTAAGTGTGGGGCGTTTCCATACGAGGAATGCAAAAGAGCTGGGGAAACGATGAGCAAGGAGCCGCAGGAGGAGGAGGATGAGTGGGAGGAGGCGGACACAATGATGGGCATTGACTTTCCACAAGGATGGTGGGGGCCGACAGGTTTCCCAAAAGTGTGCTGTACCCAAACGTAGCGAACCTGGCGCGGCTGGAGTGAGCGGCACACCTTGCGCACGCGGAGCAGGTGGCGCATCGGGCGCACCAGGCGTGCCCGGCTTGCTCGGGCTCCAGGGGTGCCTGGCACGCGTGGCGGGCCTGGCACGCGTGGCGCACCTCGCCCCACCGTCGCGCACATGGGGTCGGTGCCGGTTCCCAGTGGATGCCTATCCAAAGACGACCGCTGGGCATGCTGAGGCTCGGGTATCACTTATGTGTTGGGAGGGCGGGTGGGAGTGAGCTAGACGGCTTGCTTTCTTGGAGGGTGCCTTGCCCCCTCCCCCTACCCCCATCCCCTGGACCCGGGTGAGAGGTTTGGCGAGGGGGCGGAGCGTCCAAGATGGCCCAAGATGGCCCCAAGAGGGCCTCAGAGAGCTGAAGATGACCATAGTTCAAGACGGCGCATGCTTGCTAAAGATGGCTTCCAACATGCTCCAAGGGGCCCCAAGACCGCTCCAGGACGGCTCTAAGTGGCCACGGAGCCTCTCAACGAAGCCAACGAAAGGCTAAAATCCTTCAAACGCCTAAGACAAATCAGTGTGCGTTGCCTTCTCGCCTCATCGCTTTCGGCGACCCTCCGAGGCTTCAAGATGGCTCGAACAAGGCCTGGGAGAGCCCCAAACGGAGTCCAAGAGGGTCCCAAGACGGCCCCAAGAGCGCCCTCCTCCTCCTCCTTCTCCTGCTCGTCCTCCTCCTCTTCCTCCTTCTCCGCATTCGCCTCCGCCTCCTCCTCCTGCTCATCCTCATCCTCTTCCTCCTCCTCCGCCTCCGCCTCTGGCTCCGCCTCCTCCTCCTCCTACTCGTCGACCTCGTCCTCATCCTCTTCCTCATCCTCCTCATCCTCCCCCATTCGTCCTCCTCTTCGTCCTCCTCTTCGTCCTCCTCCAACTCCTCCTCTTCCTCATCCTCCTCCTCCGCCTCCTCCTCCTCCGCCTCCTGCTCCGCCTCCTCAAAGTCGTCTTCCTACCATCCTCATCGTCAACGTCACCGTCATCGTCGCGAGTACCGTCACCATGCTCATCAGCACCATCAGCATCAGCATCAGTATCATCACCATCATCATCATCAACATCAACATCATCATCATCATCAACATCATCACCATCAGCAACATCAGCACCAGCATGATCATCATCGTTATCGGCATCGTCCTCGTCATTGTCATCAACATCATCAACGTCAGCATCATCATCATCATCATCATCATCATCATCATCATCATCATCATCATCATCATCATCAACAGCTACAGCATAATCACCATCAGCATCATCTGCATCATCATCATCATCAGCAGCAGCAGCAGCATCATCAGCATCAGCATCT